AAATCATATGTATCATAAAGAAGTCTAAATGTGCTCGCTCTTTAATTTGGTTGGCAAATACAACTGCTGTTTTCATTCATGTAGCTAGTATACTGCATACCTTTCGTTGTCGATGCTGCTGCTGCTGCTGCTGCTGCTGTGAATTCAGTGCTGTTATCATTTTGCTCTTCTATATCACAAATATCCACAACAAGACTTTAGTGAGAAGGTCGTCATCACTGGTTTCGTTTAATGGTGAACAAATTAATAACAAAGGTCAAAGTTAGCTACCCATACTTTCCCAGATGAATAAGGCAATGGACGATGTTTATCGAGGCAGCATGCGCACAACAGGCCTACAAATAATTCGGAGGAAGCGCACCGGTAAGCGGAGAAAGAGAGAGAGAGAGAGAGAGAGAGAGAGAGAGAGAGAGAGAGAGAGAGAGAGAGAGAGAGAGAGAGAGAGAGAGAGAGAGAGAGAGAGAGAGAGAGAGAGAGAGAGAGAGAGAGAGAGAGAGAGAGAGAGAGAGAGAGAGAGAGAGAGAGAGAGAGAGAGAGAGAGAGAGAGAGAGAGAGAGAGAGAGAGAGAGAGAGAGAGAGAGAGAGAGAGAGAGAGAGAGAGAGAGAGAGAGAGAGAGAGAGAGAGAGAGAGAGAGAGAGAGAGAGAGAGAGAGAGAGAGAGAGAGAGAGAGAGAGAGAGAGAGAGAGAGAGAGAGAGAGAGAGAGAGAGAGAGAGAGAGAGAGAGAGAGAGAGAGAGAGAGAGAGAGAGAGAGAGAGAGAGAGAGAGAGAGAGAGAGAGAGAGAGAGAGAGAGAGAGAGAGAGAGAGAGAGAGAGAGAGAGAGAGAGAGAGAGAGAGAGAGAGAGAGAGAGAGAGAGAGAGAGAGAGAGAGAGAGAGAGAGAGAGAGAGAGAGAGAGAGAGAGAGAGAGAGAGAGAGAGAGAGAGAGAGAGAGAGAGAGAGAGAGAGAGAGAGAGAGAGAGAGAGAGAGAGAGAGAGAGAGAGAGAGAGAGAGAGAGAGAGAGAGAGAGAGAGAGAGAGAGAGAGAGAGAGAGAGAGAGAGAGAGAGAGAGAGAGAGAGAGAGAGAGAGAGAGAGAGAGAGAGAGAGAGAGAGAGAGAGAGAGAGAGAGAGAGAGAGAGAGAGAGAGAGAGAGAGAGAGAGAGAGAGAGAGAGAGAGAGAGAGAGAGAGAGAGAGAGAGAGAGAGAGAGAGAGAGAGAGAGAGAGAGAGAGAGAGAGAGAGAGAGAGAGAGAGAGAGAGAGAGAGAGAGAGAGAGAGAGAGAGAGAGAGAGAGAGAGAGAGAGAGAGAGAGAGAGAGAGAGAGAGAGAGAGAGAGAGAGAGAGAGAGAGAGAGAGAGAGAGAGAGAGAGAGAGAGAGAGAGAGAGAGAGAGAGAGAGAGAGAGAGAGAGAGAGAGAGAGAGAGAGAGAGAGAGAGAGAGAGAGAGAGAGAGAGAGAGAGAGAGAGAGAGAGAGAGAGAGAGAGAGAGAGAGAGAGAGAGAGAGAGAGAGAGAGAGAGAGAGAGAGAGAGAGAGAGAGAGAGAGAGAGAGAGAGAGAGAGAGAGAGAGAGAGAGAGAGAGAGAGAGAGAGAGAGAGAGAGAGAGAGAGAGAGAGAGAGAGAGAGAGAGAGAGAGAGAGAGAGAGAGAGAGAGAGAGAGAGAGAGAGAGAGAGAGAGAGAGAGAGAGAGAGAGAGAGAGAGAGAGAGAGAGAGAGAGAGAGAGAGAGAGAGAGAGAGAGAGAGAGAGAGAGAGAGAGAGAGAGAGAGAGAGAGAGAGAGAGAGAGAGAGAGAGAGAGAGAGAGAGAGAGAGAGAGAGAGAGAGAGAGAGAGAGAGAGAGAGAGAGAGAGAGAGAGAGAGAGAGAGAGAGAGAGAGAGAGAGAGAGAGAGAGAGAGAGAGAGAGAGAGAGAGAGAGAGAGAGAGAGAGAGAGAGAGAGAGAGAGAGAGAGAGAGAGAGAGAGAGAGAGAGAGAGAGAGAGAGAGAGAGAGAGAGAGAGAGAGAGAGAGAGAGAGAGAGAGAGAGAGAGAGAGAGAGAGAGAGAGAGAGAGAGAGAGAGAGAGAGAGAGAGAGAGAGAGAGAGAGAGAGAGAGAGAGAGAGAGAGAGAGAGAGAGAGAGAGAGAGAGAGAGAGAGAGAGAGAGAGAGAGAGAGAGAGAGAGAGAGAGAGAGAGAGAGAGAGAGAGAGAGAGAGAGAGAGAGAGAGAGAGAGAGAGAGAGAGAGAGAGAGAGAGAGAGAGAGAGAGAGAGAGAGAGAGAGAGAGAGAGAGAGAGAGAGAGAGAGAGAGAGAGAGAGAGAGAGAGAGAGAGAGAGAGAGAGAGAGAGAGAGAGAGAGAGAGAGAGAGAGAGAGAGAGAGAGAGAGAGAGAGAGAGAGAGAGAGAGAGAGAGAGAGAGAGAGAGAGAGAGAGAGAGAGAGAGAGAGAGAGAGAGAGAGAGAGAGAGAGAGAGAGAGAGAGAGAGAGAGAGAGAGAGAGAGAGAGAGAGAGAGAGAGAGAGAGAGAGAGAGAGAGAGAGAGAGAGAGAGAGAGAGAGAGAGAGAGAGAGAGAGAGAGAGAGAGAGAGAGAGAGAGAGAGAGAGAGAGAGAGAGAGAGAGAGAGAGAGAGAGAGAGAGAGAGAGAGAGAGAGAGAGAGAGAGAGAGAGAGAGAGAGAGAGAGAGAGAGAGAGAGAGAGAGAGAGAGAGAGAGAGAGAGAGAGAGAGAGAGAGAGAGAGAGAGAGAGAGAGAGAGAGAGAGAGAGAGAGAGAGAGAGAGAGAGAGAGAGAGAGAGAGAGAGAGAGAGAGAGAGAGAGAGAGAGAGAGAGAGAGAGAGAGAGAGAGAGAGAGAGAGAGAGAGAGAGAGAGAGAGAGAGAGAGAGAGAGAGAGAGAGAGAGAGAGAGAGAGAGAGAGAGAGAGAGAGAGAGAGAGAGAGAGAGAGAGAGAGAGAGAGAGAGAGAGAGAGAGAGAGAGAGAGAGAGAGAGAGAGAGAGAGAGAGAGAGAGAGAGAGAGAGAGAGAGAGAGAGAGAGAGAGAGAGAGAGAGAGAGAGAGAGAGAGAGAGAGAGAGAGAGAGAGAGAGAGAGAGAGAGAGAGAGAGAGAGAGAGAGAGAGAGAGAGAGAGAGAGAGAGAGAGAGAGAGAGAGAGAGAGAGAGAGAGAGAGAGAGAGAGAGAGAGAGAGAGAGAGAGAGAGAGAGAGAGAGAGAGAGAGAGAGAGAGAGAGAGAGAGAGAGAGAGAGAGAGAGAGAGAGAGAGAGAGAGAGAGAGAGAGAGAGAGAGAGAGAGAGAGACCGAAGACCGTGGACAAAGATGACTAACGTTTCAAACCTGGGTGCTCCGGTGGGAAGTGACCTCTCATACCATTGCCCTATCCCAGCACGGGTTATAAAATATAAAAGAGGGAGGAAAGGAGTAGTAATCGAATAAGTAGAGGGATGGACACCTGGTCTCTTATTTGGATCTTCCTTTGATTTTAAGTAGTTGATTTTTTTTTCCCAAGGGAGTGACTTTCTTTCCTTTCGGATTCGTTCAGAGGCAAGACCATAGCCTGTTTGGTCTCCAATCAAGACTCTACAAAATCCGTCATCTACCCATCAGTTGAAATGTTCTAAACTTTCTTCGAAATGAATCCAAATCTTATCTATCGTACTTTCAAAGTTTGCTCATGTTAAATAGACAAAAATTATACATTTTACCAGCACCAAATTATTCCTTCCTTAACAGCTAAGGCCTACTGACTCCACTGCATGATTCTTTTTAAAATTCGATGAATGATTATAGAATTTACGGGAAGACTTTTGCCATAACATGTTACCCGAGTCTATTAGAGTTGTCACCTCCTCGCCAGCCATGTCGAGAAATAAAACGCGTTGGTCAGAATCACTTTTAAACGTGACAGAGAGAATATGTTCGTCTTTTCTACTTCGTGGTCCGTCATCGTTTTCAGAATTTCATGATTACTGACATATTGCACTATTAAATAAACTGCAATACTTAAACACATTTCTATGGAAGAAAACTTCCAGTTGGCTTCTCAATACAGCGCAATAAATGGAGTTAAAAATATAAGTCATGAAATGTCACCAAAATTTTGAGTATTGATGTCATGGTAATACGAATAACCAATAGTAAAATACAACTTATGCGAAAGAATAAAATAATCAGGGATGCTATGTTGTGGAACAGCATTTCTCAGGAGCTCCGATCTACAGTTTCTTCAAGCGAAGTTAAACTGAAACTGCGTCATTACAGCTTTGAATGAGACAAGGCTTCCTTGAAAAGCAGCTTTAGTGATATGATAAGTTAAAGATATGCTTTAAATTGTGCCGAAGGAGTGTTTCTTTTATCGTGTACAAATAAATTTATCAACTTAATCAACTCGCAGGAAGGGACTCATTTTAATACTGAAGTACTGTGGAACACTATGTACCTTTCATTTTATCAATAATTAAACACATCCGTGTTTAATGTCAAGGCACTACCATTTTTGACAAGATTTCAGTTGTTAAAAATTTAATTTAAAAGCAAAAGAAAATAAACAAAACAGAAGGAAAACATACATTGTCTCCAACAAAGCCTAGAAAATTATATCAAGATTCAATATTGAAATTAGTTTTTCATGAAATAATTAAACACACACGCGTTTAATGTCAGTGCCATATATTTTTTCGACAAAATTTCAATTACTGAAAATCCGATTTTAAAGCAAAAGAAAATTCACAAAATCATTTTGTCCAACAAGGTCTAGAAAATTATAAAAAGATTCCAAGCAATTTCTAAAATTCCCATTTTAAAGCAGAAAAAGAATAAAAAGCATGTCCAAACAAAACAAAAACCTGTCGTGTTATTTACATCACTGCCATCATCATAAACACCCCTGTGATACAGTGGATTAACAATGAAAATCTTGCTGAAGATATTATTAAAGGTTGACCTGTGCAAAAATCTAAAAACTTCAAATGGAAAATAAAACAAAAACAGACAAAAAAAAGTTACTCATGATTTAATTATGAGCAAATTTAAAACACGCAGAGCCGACAGTCTATTGACATTCGTTTTAGCTAAGATCTGTAAATTTCGTCATTGAGTTAAAAATGGATTCTCGAGTGAAGCCCATGAGAACTGGCGTACACGAGGCCAACAACCAAGTCAGAGAAGAACATGAAATTCCGCCAATCGTTTTACAGGACACAAGTCCAAATATCTATAATGGAAATGAACAACAACTGGAGGCAATACAGGCGATATATGGACCGATATTAACTTTCATGAAGCTGGGTGGAATATATTTCGGAGATACGTCTTTCAAAAGATTGAGACAATTGTCAACTACTGGTAGCAAGAGAAAGATTTCGATTGCCCGAGTTTATTGCACTGCGATAGTGGCGTCTCTCTGGTTCTCTTTTGCCATGAGTATTGTTAGTCTTTGCGTAGAAGGATCTTCAGTTCTTCAAAATCTCTACACATTAATAACCTTCGCTATGTGGTATTTTGTATTGGCAATCGTCGCGACAACTTGCCTCTTCGTGCTTCCACTGAACGAGGGGAAAAAATCCCGTTTTGAGAAATTTGTTGCTAACTTAATTGAAAGAAGAGTTGATTTGGCAACGCTGAAATTATATTCCAGAAAAGGACTAATTTTAGCCATTTTTATTTTTCTTGTGTCAACTTTCAACGTCTTAGCAGCCTTTCAGTTGATGCCCGACTTGACTGTTGCGTTTTACAAGCCTTGGAAAGACTGGTATGGTTTTAGAATTTTCTGTTTAGTATCCATGATTTTTAGTTGCATCGTGTGGCTGCTTCCAACACTGTTTTTCTGTTTAACATGCTTGGTTCTTGAGCGCCAATTTGACTGTTTTTGCAAAAGGGTTTGTTTTCTAGATTTAAATCAATCCCTGGACATAACAGCTTTAAAGGAAGAACACCAAAAATTGTGTGAAACAGTTTCGCTCGCCGACAAGATATTTTCCTCTTCATTGCTTGAAGTTTTTTCCGTCACCATCCCGCTGTTGTGTTTTAATTTCTACGCCGCTATCAACCCACCCGTGACGAATGAAGGAAGTTCCATTCCTTTCTCTATTTTTGGTGGTGTATATTGGTTATTATCCTCAGCTGCGATCCTGTCTTTGATAACCGTCTTTGGATCAAGAGTAAACGAGAAGGTAAGGAGGCTGATGAACAATCTAACGTAATAATTACTAAATAGCACAGTGAAAACTGATTTTGAGAAAGGGAACAACACAAATTTAGACAACAACATCCCCTATTGCCGCCAGAGTAACTACAGTTCGCACCATTGTGAAAGGAGTAGCTAATTTTTAGTTCCAACCTCTTGACTTACATACAACTTTGGAAAACTTCTTTTTGCAAATGAAACATAATCTCAATTTTCATTGATATGTTACTTCTTAATGCAACTATACTGTTATCTTCTAAGATGTAATGTGTTCAATATATCCTGCACCAATTTACACATACCCTATTACCGTTAGAGTAACTGTAGTGAGACTTCAACCTAATATCTCTTTCAGGTATCCAAGTGGCCACACCTACAACCAGGGAAAGCTTTTCTTATATATTAACATCAAATGTCATTCCTTTCTAAGATTTGCAGTGTTCAAAGTATCCTGCAAAGTATCAAAGTTCCCGATGGCGCCGAAGGAAAGGTACATGAATGATCATTAGTGTTTGTTCCCTGCTTTTGCGTTGTGTTTGCTCATTTGTTAAAGCTCATGTTCTAAAATATCTTATGACAGCGAAATTTATTTCATGCCATGCTTAGGTTGATTTTCATTGGCTTCGTACCTCCACACATCTATTCTCCTCGCCGATTACCTTTCATTTCTTCTACTGAGGAGTTCTTTTTTTTCATTACTAACGAAGCACTGTGCAATGTTAATGTTACGTTAAAGTGCCAGCAATCCCCCC